ATCTGTACATTTGCGATATTTCGATAATTTCGATATATTGCACAGACCATATATATATATATATATATATATATATATATATATATATATATAATTAATTTTTTTAATTAAACAATGGTTTACTGAACAAATTGCTTTTTCTTTAAATAAATTCAGTAACAAATAACATTTTCTAGGAATAAAAATCTACCTCAGCTTCTGCTCTAAACTATAGAGAGCCCTTTTACATTACTATAAGGTTACAATTAACAACAGAGCCCAAACTTAAATTCAGTTACTATTTATTTTAACTATAATAATCAACACTCAAATTAAAAAATTTGTCTGTAAACATGTAAATTGCACATAATTTATTAGCTTTAATAATCAATTAAAAAATTTGTCTGTAAACATGTAAATTGCACATAATTTATTAGCTTTTAAATTCTATTCAAAATTTAAAAATTTAACTAAATCAGTTTTTAACTTCTAAATTATTCAATTTATATTTGTTTTTGAAATCATTTACACAGTGGCTGCCATAACTTGTTTCATAAAAGATTTATTTAAACATACATTAAATAATTAAGACATCACTAAAAGGTAAAGTAAAATATAATGCAGTATACAGTCTAATATTTCTCAAAATAACGAGCTGTAGACACTGATGACTTGCCTGAGGTAAATTAAATGCTACGTGACATTTTGTTTTAAAGCTGTTTTAATGACGTCTTTCTGCAATTGAAACACAGATTGAGCAATTACATTAGATGTTCATTCATTTTTATTCATTAAAACTAGTAGTAAAGAGGAAGGGATGATCACGCTCCATGCTGCCGTTAGAACTGAGGCTTCTATACAGCGATCTGTCACGCCACATCAAAGAGCACCAAAATGGCATTTATGGTCTGAATTTCCTGAAAAAATGTAATGATTTGTTCCATACACATGCGTACCGAACCGAAAGGCCCGAACTCAGAGCTCATGGCTGGTCTACTGTATGTAGAAAGCTTTAGGCCTATGTTATCATTTAATATAATTTTCTCTGAACAAATGTTCCAGAACATTTTTTTTCCAGAACCTTTGCTACTTTTTATAAATAATTTGACCTGATGTTCTCCTCACTTTTACTGTCAACATGGCTGTCACACGGTAACATTCACGCAATCATAGCATGACCTCCTGAAACCATAATAAAGCAGCACTGTGTCTGTCAGCCGAGTTGACGGCAGTATGCAGCTGCGTTTGAATGACAGGCAGGAGAGGAGAAGGT